GGTAGGAGCGCAACGCCGTGGACGGGCCGCGCTGAAGCCTTCTGAAAATCAGAGCTGAGGTGAAGCTCAGGGCGCCAGCCTTGCAGCACAAGGGCTTCTGCTGCAAGGAGGAGCTCTCAGGGAGGCTGGAGCTGCTTCTCCACCCATCCCGTCTGATCCCCCTCCCTCCCTGGTGTGGCGTTGTATGGCAGCACTCAGACTGGCTTTGGGATTGCAAATGCAGATAAGCCTGGCCAATAATCAAGAGAAGACCAGCTTCCTCTTTGAAACAAGCAGGTTTTCACAGCTGCCTTCCTAATGTTGCTAACAAGCCTAGAGTGACTCAGCTGGCACCTCACTTCATGCGGTGTTGACTCTCACTATAGTCTGCTGTGACCACACACATGGTGCCAGTAGGGTGACACAGCCACAGCTCCTTTGCCCACACACAGGGTGCCAGTAGGGTGACACAGCCACAGGCAGCGGTCATGCTGACACAACATCCCTCCTGCCCGCTGCAGCTTTCCAGCACAGCCCCTCTCTCTTTGTGTTGTCCATTTGTTCCCTGGCGTATCCCAGCTATGTGGCTTCTTACCCGATTTTTGAAGTTCCCACTGTCTTCTTGAGCAGGTGATCATGTGTGAGAAGTAAGCAACAGTTATCTCATACCCCCTTGAATCCAGCAAACTTTAACTCATCAATAAACCTTCGCCAGATGTCCTAGCCAACTGAGGGAGTTGCTGGCAAACTCTCAAACACTCAGAAATGCCCCTAAGGTACTGATTAACCTGTCCTGACTTTGCCTTTGTACGCGCTCTCTTCACGTTAAGGATGCCGTGAGATTTGGATGGCAAATTCGTCCTGCTGCAGAAGGGAGGGGAGGACAGAACATTTCCCTACTAGCTCTCCGCTTACCCCTCTTCAGCAAATTCGGGTGTGCCAAAAAACAAACAAAACAAAAAACACTTAAGAAAAAAAGAAAAAATCAACCTGTTAGTGAGGAAATGCTGCTTACTAAACTGCTTATTTTTCACTGGCTCAGCATGAGCTCAGTGCTGGCAGCCCTCAGCCAGACAGGGCACGAAATTGTCGTTGTTGCACCAGAAGTAAACTTGAATCTGAGTATTACACTCTTAAAACATATCCAGTGCCTTTAACGAGGGAAGAACTGGAAGCAAGCATGCATTCATTCACTAGATCTGTATCATTACCTGAAACTATTTGTTTTACTGTCACAACTGATTTTGAAAAACAAGGAATCTTTTCAGTTAATAGAACCATCCTTTCATAATTTAGAAATAACATGTCATAACACATCAGTTGGCAAGTCATGTTCTGGTTGCTTTGTCAGTCTAGGCTTATCCTTTCACCACATGGATTCTTTCTGCAATTTTCTGCAAAACTCTGAGCATCTGCAACAGCTTACGCTGCCTTCTGAAAAGTTTCCCTAAAAAGGGCGTACCTAGAGGTGCAGTAGTTTGGTAAATATCCTTAAAAAAATTCTGGTGCATACTATCAACCTCCACAGTGAATTACTGTGTGGTAAAAAATCACTTCTCTGCAACAATTTTCATAATTAGGGCTGATTGTCTGCAAATGCTGTCTATGCATTCGTGTTGTTCGCTTTCATGGCCCTGGGGCATGCTCTTTCCAGGCTGATCTAGAACAGTATTTCTGAGTTGCTAATACAGTTTTAAATGTATCTGTCAAAAACACCCATGCCCTGTCCTTCCTCCTTCCACACCCTACCTTCATCCTTCCAAGAAGAGGCTGTTCAGGGAAATGAACTGTGAGAGCCCATTTTCCATTTTCATTCCAATCACAGAATCACAGAGTGGTTTGGGTTGGAAAGGACCTTAAAGCCCATCCAGTCCCACCCCCTGCCATGGGCAGGGACACCTCCCACTAGCCCAGGTTGCTCAAAGCCTCATCCAGCCTGGCCTTGAACCCCTCCAGGGATGGGGCATCCACAGCTTCTCTGGGCAACCTGGGCCACTGCCTCACCACCCTCACAGGAAAACATTTTTCCTAATATCTCATCTAAATCTCCCCTCTTTCAGCTTACAGCTGTTCCCCCTCATCCTATCCCTCCACCCCCTGACAATGCCACGATATAAAACTGACCATTTCCCATGCGGAGCATTAATACTTTTCTAATCTTTTACAAATAGAAAATTATTTGGACTGGCAGGAGGGGAGGAATTTTCTTATACTGAAAACTCTTGTTTGGAAAATTAATGTTCTGTTATTTGGCACTTGTGAGCCGACCACTTATTAAAGAACACTCATTGCCTTAAATCCCAGTGTTCCTCCAAAACAAAGTGGTGCATGTTACCCACTCTAGCTGCTGTTCAGATTACCGTCTGCTAAATTATTCCTGTCTGCCTCTTATTTCGGCTTCTTATTCCACATTTACCATGATAATACATTAACCGCACAGCAAATAAGACTAAAGATCATCTCAGGTAAGCACAGACCAGATTGCTGAAAAGGTGGAGCTGGGACTATTCTTTCTGGGCAGCACCCATCAGATTTCTGCAGAAATGGCCCCGGTGCTTAGTGCTTATCTGCAAGTCACGGTGACGCTGGTTCTGCTTCTGTCTGTGCTCAGTCTGGCTGCTGGTGGGAAGCTGCTGGTGGTGCATGTGGACGGGAGTCCTTGGTTCAGCATGCGGGAAGTGTTGGATGGTCTCAGGCAGAAGGGACACAAAATAGTCGTCGTTGCACCTGAGATAAATTTATACATAAAGCCAACAAAAAAAAAAAAAATCAACCTGTTAGTGAGAAAATGCTGTTTACTAAACTGCTTATTTTTCCAATGATCATTTTTAAGTACAGTTTATATAAATCTGTAAATAACAACATGTCTTAGTTATTATTCATTTTTTTCTTACCGTTTATAACAACATAAAAGATTCTAAGAGTATTTTTTTCACTTTCACCTCAGAAGCTTCTTCCACAACTCTGAAGCTCAAATATTTTGTTTTCTGAAAAGTTATCCTGAAAGAAAATTGCTCTGTGCCACTTTTCCAGTAGTTTCTCTACACAAGGCAAAAGGTAAAGACGTTGCTAAAATGGGAAAAAAGAAATTAAAAGGCTGACAGGAAAAAACAATATGCAATTAATTTTGTGGCATGGATCATGGTATGGAAGGGAGAGAAAAGAAGCTGTGTGCCTGAAGGACAGAGGCTGTGTGAGTCTAAATATCCCAGGTTGCACTATTTTTCCATGCCACAGTACTATTTAGACATCTAAGCGTTTTGGCATCAGTAACAGTAAAAGCAATGCTGTGAAGCTGATAGCTTTCGCAAACCCATGCCTATGCTGAAGCTGCTCATTTGCCAGGTCAGGTCTGATACCTGGGCTCCCACCTGAGTCTGCTGAATAGTCCAAGCCATACGGGGAGCAGTAGTCATTAAAACACATTTAGTACGTGCCTTATGTCTGGCCTCTACTTGATGTGTAGGCAAGTGGTGAGGAGTTTTCAGCCGCCTGGAGGCTGTCTCATAGGCTGTGGAATAAGTGCATTACTGCTCTGAAGCAAGAACCAGGGCTTCAGTTTCACTGATCTCTACCTCAGGTCCCGGGTCAGCCTCTCTCCGTGTCTCTCCCTGGTGTCATTATAGGCTGTGAAGATTCCTTCTATCTCAGATGCCCTTTCAGATGCTTTTCAGATGCCCAGGTTCATCTGCCCTTTCCCTGGTTTCTGAACATCCATGTGTCCAACCACAATGAAATTTGTTGAGGCTGTTTTCATTTGTTACTGTGGTGTTGCGGTTGTCACCAGACTTGGTCCTGGCTAAGGGATAAGAGGACACATCAACGGTCAAGAGATAAGTGCAGTGAAATCAGACCAGGATGCTCAGGAGCTAGCTCTCCGTTGAACACTGAGGACCTCAAATGACTCAGCACAGGAAAGGGTCACTACATTCGGCTTTACAAGTAATGGAAAAAAGAAAAAACACCAACCCATAACCCAGAGCAGTAAATCATTCACTAGAAGATTATGAGAAAGCAGCACAGCTCAACAGATAAACCGGTCGGCTTCCTTTAAAAGCATCTTCAAGCCACAGCCTGAAGAAGACTCTGCTGCAGTCTGTGCTCTGACCACAGGAACATGACTTTGCATCTCTGCTGTGCTTGGATTTTTATCCTCCTCCTGGCTGGCCTTTCAGATGGAGGGAAACTCCTGGTGGTGCCCATGGATGGAAGCCACTGGCTCAGCATGCAGAGCGTAGTTGAAAAGCTCACCGAGAGAGGACATGAAGTGGTGGTGCTTACACCAGAAATAAGCTGGCAGGTGAGAACAACGCAGGCTTACACGGTGAAAACATACCCAGTGTCTTACACACTACAAGATCTGGATGATGGCTTTCGTGAGTATGTTGCTGCTCACCTGAGGGACCTGCCTTTCCCACTGAATGCTCTAGCACTGTTCAACAGCTCACTGCCTGCTTTCCGGCTGTTCTTTGCTCAATGCAAGGACCTGTTCAACAACAAGGAGATCCTGCAGTACGTGAATCAAAGCAACTTCGATGCTGTCCTAACAGATCCTGTTTTTATGTGCGGAGCAACAGTTGCTAATTATGTATCTCGTCCGTTTGTGTTCTTCATGAGAGGATTTCCTTGCAACTTACACTACAAAGCATCGCAGTGCCCAAGCCCTCTGTCCTACACCCCGAGACTATTCACCTCCAACTCGGATCGTATGACTTTTTTCCAGAGAGTGGAAAATGCACTGGTTGCCCTCCTGGAGTTTTTCTACTGTGAAAGTTTCTATGCAGAGGCGGTAAAGTTTTCCTCTGAAGTTCTTCAGCGAGATGTATCCCTGCTGGACCTCCTGAACTCCGCTTCCATTTGGCTTCTGAGATTTGACTTTGTGTTTGAGTATGTCAGACCAGTGATGCCCAATATGGTCTTTATTGGAGGTATAAACTGCGCTCAGAAGAAACCACTGCCTAAGGTATGTTCTTTTTCCTCCAAATTAGACAGTGCAGCTCTGCTCCATTGCTGCAACGCTCCTTGGCAGCTCAAAGAGGCACCCTGGAGTAACCCACACAGGCCTTACGGTGAGAGGTACTCCTGGGAGGAAAATAAATCTGCAGCCTTGAGTCACCCAAGCTTCAGTCTTGTTTAGCATAAAAATTCTGTCCTTAGTATCCATTGGAAAACCCTTTCCTCCCAGATACCAGAAGCTCGTATCTAGTTCTTGCTTTTTGAGGCCTCTGTTCCTCAAACTGCAGCTGGAGTCGTTAACCAGCACCACACACTTCAAACCCGCAGGGGGCCCAGGTGCCCTTCACTACTGGATAATGAACAACAAATACATGTAAACCTACTATGTTGTTTTGAAAAATGAGCCAGTCTGTTAATTTTCTGAATAATAATTACCCGGCTTAGATCTGACCACCACTGATTCTGTGCTAACCTGAGAACATCAGCCTTTCTTTCTCTGTCTGTTCTCTGTTTACCTCTATTTTTTTAATTTTTTTTTAATTCTGTCCTTCCTATTGCTGTCTTACCTTTTCCCCAGTTTTCGCTCTGACGATCTGGTACAAAATTAGGGAGTCTGTTGAGTCCATAAGAAAGTGTAGCCATACCAGCAAGAAACTTGTTCTCTTACAGTCACTGGAAGATGAACTTCGTATTTGGCTGTTTTCAGCCGACTGATTTTGCTGTTGAAGGTCATACCCAAGTGCAGAGAAAAAAATCACACCAAGCAGCAAGTTCCAAATGGATTTGGTCACTTCTTACCACAGCACTTGCAATACGCTCTTTATCTCTGAATTACCAGCATGAGAATTATTTGTAAATCTGTCAGCCTCACACTTTCAGTCTGTGCCTTACAAAACTGCCTCCTGCCTCTCACTCCCCCATATTTGGCCCTCTCTGGAAATTGGTTCTCCATGTCTCAAGCTGGTTCCTCCATGCCAGCGTGACACTGGGAAGCTACACAGAGCAGTGCTATCACCCTTTGGGTGGCTACTGAGGCAAATGCCTAAGGCTAGAAGGGTTTGTTTCTCTGTAACTGAGGATGCTGGGAATCCCACCACCACTTATAAAAGGAAGGAACAGGAAAAACTTTCTGCTGCTGATAGCTTTGCATCATCTCTTTTCTTCACAAGGGCTTCTTCCTTAGCACCACCCAAAAGACTTTGGTCTGGCATTGCTTTTACTTGCATAAAGACAAAACATTCCTCCAGCAAAGCCCTGAGGGCCTTAGTTCACTGCACTTCCCAGGGGACAGCAGCAAATGCCAGCAAATAAGGGGTCACACCATCCTAGTAGAGCCTTCTTTGGAAACCCAAGCTGGAGTATTACCACATATATTTTTTAATAACAGCCCATCAATCAGTTCCTCCCTCAGGAAACATGAACTGTAAGGACAGCTTGTGCCTCCCTGTGAGTGGATTCAAACCCCCAGGTCCAACTACCAAGTAAATTCCTGGCTAATTCAGTCAGGAGAAGATCTCTCTTCTCATCAAAGTTGGGCTGCTGCCCAGAAGCAAACATGGAAGAGGAAAGACAAGTTTGCAGCTCTGTCAGGGCTCATAGCTGAAGAGGTCCAGGAGACACCTGTATGTGGTTGTGTATGTTACTGCCTGTACCTGTAAAAGGAGGCGAGCTCAGAAGCCTAGTTTGCTTGTTGGGGTTTTTCGTGTGTGTATTATCAGTGGGATTAGTAAAAGATACCATATCTCCTCCGAAATTTTGTCTTGCTCACAATATATAAAAAGGATTTTCAGGACTGTGGCTAAAGACCAAGGCTCCTTCTTTGTGTCCCAAAAGGTCTCTGCCGGCATCCTTTCCCTTCACTTGCCCTGAACCCATCAATTAGTTCATTTTTTTTGTCTAGTACCATGGGGAGAAAAGCCAAACAGGATTGTTCTCCTCCTCAGATTTGGGATTGCATGATGCATCCTGGTAGCTGTGATGTATTCATGAGACAGACATGCAGGTTTGACTGCTTCCAGAAGGTGGCAATTTAACATCAGCCTTTTACGTACTAGTTAGGTGTTCTCAGTTAGGCTGGCCCATAAAAGAAACGGTGTTGCAATTTCCATTCATTCTGCTGAGAGAATTTTAAAGGTTGCCTTTTGAAAGCAAAACCAGTCTTGTTTTCTCACCGGGTACTTACTAAGTCAATGGTATTAACCACAAGTAGTATTATGAGATTATATCCTCGGTGGTTTTAGTTTCATGAAGGAAGGGATGTGCTGACATACTTTCAAGCTTAACAATTAACAAAAAGTTCAAAGAGGGGCATATTTTTTTTAAGAACAGTGTGCTCCCGTTTCCTGTTAGATAAAGAATTGCAAAATTGAAAGATAATCACAACAATATCGGGAAGTTAAAGATTTACTTCTGCAGTTTAAATTCCCTGCAGAAAGTCAAAGCTTGCATGGCCCTTCATGTAAAGGACTGTATCGGATGCCTCCATAGCAGCACTCTCCAGTTTACTCCTACCAACATGGCACTTCGGTTGCAGTGCTTTTACCAGTGTACTTGGATGTTTCTTCTTCTGCCATCATCTTCAATCTTTGCTGAAGGTGGAAGGATGCTGGTGATACCTCAGGATGGAAGTCACTGGCTCAGCATGCGCCCAGTAGTGGGGAAACTCCAGCAAAATGGACACGAAGTTGTTGTGCTGGTACCATCAACAAATTTGTATCTGAAGCCAAAGGAGCCTCAGAATTATACAGTGAAAGTATATCCAACACCTTACCCAGGTTGGGCTCAAGTCATTCGTTAATGCTCATTTTACTGAACAATCTGTTTTGAATATTATTATTACAATGTATCAAAACATGTTAGAAATTTTCAGGTTCTTTGTCACCAACTGTAGGAGCCTTTTGCACAATGAAGACATGATGCAGTATTTGAGAGAGAGCAAATTTGATGTGGTTTTCACAGATCCAATTATAATGTGTGGACCAATAATTGCTGAGTATCTTTCACAGAATCACAGAATGTTAGAGATTGGAAGGGACCTCGAAAGATCATCTAGTCCAATCCCCCTGCCGGAGCAGGAACACCTTCTGTCTACTTCTTGCGAGGATTTCCTTGTGGTATGGATTTTGAAGCTACTCAGTGTCCAAACCCTCCTTCCTATGTCCCCAGATTCTTCCTAAATAATTCAGACAGCATGACATTTGCTCAACGTGTGAAGAATGTGCTGGTCCATATGCCGGAGTTCATTTACTGTAAGCCTCTATTTGCTCAATTTGAAGAACTTGCATATGAGATTTTTCAAAAGAAAATGACAGCTACAGACCTTCTAAGCCGTGGATCTGTTTGGCTAATGAGATACGATTTTGTGTTCGAGTTCCCGAGACTAGTGATGCCAAACATGGTTTTTATTGGAGGGATAAACTGCGATCAGAAGAAAAAACTCTCTCAGGTATAAAATTTTATTTTGTTTGTATTAAAAAGGCAAGAACATAAATATTTAAACATTCTTACATCAAAACTTAACTGACAACACCTTGGTATTCAAAGATAGAAAGCTAATGAGAAATCCTGCATGATGTAGAAATGGTATTTCTTAGTATCCAGCATTAGATTAAAGCATATCCTGGCAAACCTAAAGTCTTATCAGATATGAGAATTTAAGTGACCTGTAACTTTTTTGCAAATGGTAAGCCGTTTTGTTGAGCTGAAGCTCACCTAAATTTTGGTGGGTTGCAAAATTTCCTCCCCAACAGGAGACAGACTTGGTAGCTTCCATTTCATCTAAGTTCCTTATGGTATGTCCATTTCTGTAAGAGCTGACCCTACAGCCAAAGCTAGGCTCACGGGACTTGGCTGTATCACTCTGAAAGAGCCTAGAGAACATCTATAAGCACAGTATGCTCTCTCTCTGCTCCGTGGTGTCCTCCATTTCCAGTCTGTCCATACTTCTGTATACCCGTTCTCCTTTCACAGACATTGAAAGTTATAGGACTTAAAGATTTTAGCTATCCATCTGTTCTTTTTCTGTTGTGTGCATCTGCCAGATTGATTCATTTACATCTTCCCTGTTATGTCAATGTGCCAATAACTAACTCCCGAAAGAAAGCCTTTTTAAAGTGTAGCTTTCCCTTCTTTCATAGGCTATTTAATTAGCTTTTAAGCTTTTCTGGGCGTGGATGTCTTCTGTAAATTCCCATTCAGGTTTTTGGGTACCAACCAGGGCTCTGAATTCAGTACAGCATATTCTATAGCAGATGGAAAGGAGGAAAGAGATATTCAAGTATTGCAAATTGTGAGTACCCCTGAAACAGAGTAGTGTAGAAGAAACCCCGAATATCCTCCCCTTTTGTGTGGATAAGTATGTTTAGTGCTTGTGCTGGAAGTGGCAGAGCCAATCCTCTTACCAGTACAGTCTCTAGTGCCACTTGGTTCACTCTTACTGGTTACGTACATTTGAATGAAGGAAAAAGAGTAGCAGTTACTCACAAGGGGTCTTTCGAAAGGATGTGGAGTCAGGAGTGGGAAAGATTGCTGATTGGCAATGAACTCAGGAGTTCGTGAATCAGAAACATGTTGTTGGTTTATGTTTTCTGAGGTGCAACAGTGAACTGCAGTTTTGCAACTTGGTTTTATACCCAATAGGATAAGAGGTTACATGGAAGTTACATGTAGAGATGGGGAAAGATTTTCTGTTGGCTACTTATCTTCAAAAAAACCTCTTTTCATAGACCCACTACTACTGTGTGGGGTAATCCCAGAAGCGTTTCTGTCCATCCACTCTGTGGATGCGTTTCCTTCATGGATTCCTGTAGCAGAGAGCTGGCCGGAATCAAGACAATGCTCAATATGAGTTAAGCTTCTTGTTTGCTTTATTCAGGGTTCAGGGGGAATATATAGCATTTCAAGCCTTGCATGTGTTTGCTTTCTAACATGATTGGTTTGTTACCTGCGTGCATGCGGTGTGCACGCAGCAGCAGCCAGTGGTCATTCGTTCTTGCCCTCTTGGCATGCGGTTCATATTTGCATACTCCTTTCTTCCCCGTCCCGTTGCCTTCCTCCCCCCTGCAGTTTACCCGTTCTTTTACTCTTTTCCTTTGCTGTTTTCAAGGAGAGTCCAAGGACTCTCAGGCCTCTTTATTGAAGTTTGGATTGTGCACATACTGATGTCCCTGCTCACTGAGCCATTCTTCCACAGATTCCAACATACCCCAGAGCATGCTGTCAGTAAAGGTTGCTGGTGGTGAAAAGTGTCATGAGGCTGCGGTCCTACTGTGGGAGGGAGAAGAGAAGGCTGAGGCATTGAGCTGTAGTTGCAGCTTGGGTCAGTGAAGTGTATGGAAGAAGACATGATCTTGTGCTTGTGTGAACTCGCTTTTCAAGTACAAACCTCATCTCAACCTTTTATAGTCATAAATGACCTACCGTGACTCCATTGCGTGCAAACTTGTGAACGCCTGAAATATGAGGCAAGCCCAAAGGGCGGAGGTGTCACTAGAAAGCATTGCCAAGTGATGCATTTGCGTAGGTGGAGCATAGCTACAAAAGCTTGTGAATCACCCCTGGCATCTCTCTTGCACGGGCTGCGGTCCCTCCAGCTCGCAACATGCTGGTGGCGGTGCTGCTCACCTTCTTGTGCTGCCTGGGTCCTGCCACTGCTGGGAAGCTGCTGGTGATCCCGATGGAGGGCAGCCACTGGCTGAGTATGAAGGAAGTGCTGGCTGAGCTGAGCAAGAGAGGGCACGAAATAGTTGTCATCGCACCAGACACCAAACTTCTGATAGATTCCTCGGGGATGTATGAAATGAAAACGTATCCTGTCCCTATCACAAAGAAATCGATGAAAAGCCTTTTGAATTCACTTGGTGCAAACAGTTTTACCAACGAGCCTTTCCTGACCAGGTTTTTGAAAACTTGGGATCATTTCCAAAAGAGCTCTGCCATGTTTCAAGCTTTCTGCAGTTCCTTACTGTACAACAAAGAGATGATGAACTACATCAAAGAAAGTAAATTTGATGCCGTCTTTACAGATCCTATGACACCCTGTGGACAGGTAGTTGCTTTGCACTTTTCTCTCCCTACTGTTTTCTTCTTGCGGGGTGTCCCATGTGCTATAGACATCCACGCTGCTCAGAGTCCAGACCCACCATCCTACATCCCACGATTGTTCTCAGGCAATACAGATCATATGACGTTCCCGCAGCGAGTAAAGAACTTCTTGATCAGCCTTTCAGAGTATTTCACCTGCAGTATAGCCTTTTCATCATTTGAAAGACTGGCCTCGGACTTTCTCCAAAAGCCGATGACAATTACACAGCTTTTAAGTCATGGATCTGTTTGGCTGAAGAGACTTGACTTTGTCTTCGACTACCCCATGCCTATAATGCCCAATATGATTTTCATTGGAGGCATAAACTGCGGACAGAAGAAACCATTAACTCAGGTCAGTGACTAGCTGGGAAAGGTATAACAAGGGAATAGTTCTGGCAGTCATACACCTGCACGATCTGGGTGAGGTCTGATCGCGTGTTTGATATGGACATTTCTTACCTAAAGAGATCATTTAGATTAATGCTTTCTGTATAGCAGAGTGGTATAGTTGACTAGGAGAATGCGATGCGATTCCACCTCCTTTGCCTGGGTCTGCCCAGTGTGGGGATTTTGTTCAGTGAGGGGATCACGTGCTATGCTGTGTTTAATTCCAGCTGAAGTCAGGTACACAAACACCACCTTGTCCAGAAATTAATTCAAAAAGGGCAAGTGATTGTAATAGCTCTTCCAAAAATTCTTTGCCTCATATAAGAGACAGTAGAATATTTCTTTGAGAGCATTAATTGCTTATCCAGTCAGAAAAGTAACTTGCCGAGTTATGTGCCAGAGCAGCATGTGCTCTTTTCTGTAACAGCAGTCTTGTGTTTGAATCGAAGGCTAATATTTTGTGGTGAAGGTTTGGTCTGACAACAGCTTCCGTCACAAAAGCTAGGTAGCTGAATTCTCAGCTGCATTTTTAGGAGACATCCAGTTTGGATATGGAAATGTTGATGGGTGGTTGTGTGGGCATCTGTGGTCTAAAAAGCACTTGCTGAAGGCATGCATGTGACGTATGTTAGCTTGTTGGTGCTCACGATGTCCGTTAGCTTGTTGCTGCATGTGGTGTATATTCTTGCTTGCTTGTGCTGTAAGTAGAACAGCCTCGTGTGAAGCCAGAGATTAAGTGGGAAAAGAGATATAGGAGACAGATCTCCTCAACAGATGATGAATCTGTAGTTAGTGTCATCCAGCCATTTCAGCAAGAAGTCACGTTGTTTCCTAGAAAGGATAAAGTTTTATCCTTTGTGAATGTTACTTAAAAATAAACAGACTGTTCTTCCCTTGAACCTTTTTCACTTGCCAGCCTTCCCTGAGTCTTAGGCAATGGGTTCCTCCTGCCTATCACCAATCTTACTCTTCCCCCAAATTTATAGGCCTTTGTGAACATGCATGAGCGAAGATTCACAAAAAAAATAGATTTTGGTTTACAAGCCTGGTACATCTTCACAGAGCCAACCTTAACTATCCTTAGGCTTTGCTTTACTCCTCCCAGTACCTCGTCTGATGCTGCCCTCTGAAAGTACTGTTTGTTTCTGTTAAGCTGCTAGTGTTCCTATCCTGATTTTCACAAAGGTCTCTCTAAATTGCTGTCAACCTCCCCCATGGCCACTTTTATCAGGGTAGTGCTTTTTCCTATCTGTTCTGTCCATCAGATCTACTTAACGGCTCCTCAGGGGCAAACTCTGGCAGATCCTCTGGGAAAGCAGGGAGAGAAATCCTGCCTGCAGGCAAGGCCATGTGGCAGCTATAACTTAACATCAGACTCTCCTCTGCAGAGAACACTCACTCTCACTGTCATCTTGCTGAGGGGCTAAAGATCATAGTCCAGTAACAGTATTTATTGAAGAAGTACTGATTCTTCAGTCCTGATTTCTGGTTGTCTTCCAACTTTTCCTCTGCATCACTCTGTTACATCTAAAGGCAAAATACAATCCTGTGGGTTGACAAATTTATCACAAGTACTTGTTAACTGCTCAGACATGGCATCTTACCTTTTAATCTGAAGTAACACCACCACCTCTTACCATTTAAAATCAGTTCCTGGCCTGAAACAAGAGGGCTGTTACTGGCTACTTCTGTCCAGGCTTTCCTGTGTTTAATTAAGTACAAGGGGAACTGAGTGGCTTTTCCTTCGTATTGCTCCTGGAAGAACATGATTGAGAGAGGCACAAAGAGAGAGGTCAGGATGAGAATAAAGAAGTGTTGTGGATAACAGCATGGATTCGGTAGTTTTCCTTTGCTGATGCACGCCTCTGCTGCAGTCTTGCTTTTTGCAACAAATTTGTACCTGATGTTGTACATGGCCCCAGTGCTGAGCTACATGTAAATCACAGAGCCTCCTCCTTAGGATTTGCACAGATATCATGCTGTATAATGACATAATTTTACAATTTTAAACATAAACTTGGCAAGCATTTCAGAACAGCTGTAAAATGCTTCTTAAAAAGAAAGACAGGAAAGCAAAAAAGCATTTTAACCCCTGCTTTCAGCAAGCCCAGTTACTTCCAGGCACTACTCAAAAACTTGGAATTTTGTTTTTGCAAAGTCTGATTTGATTTTTAGTCTCCCATCAATCAGCACAGGGAATCAATCAGGAAGGACCCATCCTAAGGGAGCCTCAGATACTAAGCCCATTTCTGCCCAAACCACGCTGATCTGTCACGTTCCTTAAATAATTCATCAATGCCTTGAATGGATATGGGTGACTGGTTTTGCTGGAAAAACCGGATTGTTAAGGGGGAATGTGAGAACCTGGCAGGGGGCTGTGGGTCTACTTCAAATCTGTTCAGTCAGGACAGATGAACAGACTTTGGATTTCTAGGAACATGGCTTATGTAAGTAAATGCAGTTATCTGGTTTCTGGGGGAGTTTTGGTTTTCCTGTATCTGTTTTGCTTGGCCAATGGTGGAAAGCTGCTGGTGGTGCCAATGGATGGGAGTCATTGGCTCAGCATGCGCTCAGTGCTGGCAGCCCTCAGCCAGAAAGGGCACAAAATTGTTGTCGTTGCACCAGAAGTAAACTTGAATGTGAAAGCATCTGAATATTACACTCTTAAAACATATCCAGTGCCTTTAATGAGGGAAGAACTGGCAGCACGCATGCATTCATTTGTGAATGATCTTTTTGAGAGAAGACCCTTTCTTCAGAGAATTAAAGCACTTTATGAAAAAGTTCAGGTCATCTCCGGTCTCTACGTCTCCTCCTGTAGAAGTTCACTGCACAATGAGGATCTGATGCGGTACCTTGAGGGGAGTAAATTTGATGCTGTTCTCACAGATCCTGTTGTACCATGTGGACAAATACTGGCTCTGCATCTCTCGATCCCATCTGTTTTCTTTCTACGGGGACTCCCCTGCAGTTTTGATTTGCAGGCTACCCAGTGTGCAGACCCACCTTCCTACGTCCCAAGAACATTTACAGACAACTCAGACCACATGACGTTTATCCAGCGTGTTGAAAACTTATTTCTGAAATCAGCAGAATCCTTTCTTTGCAATTTTGCCTATTTGCCATTTGAACTTCTGGCCTCAGATGTTCTCCACAGACCAGTAACAATGAAGGAGCTTTTAAGCCATGGATCCATTTGGCTTAAAAGAATGGATTTTGGTTTTGAGTATCCCATGCCAATGATGCCCAACATAGTTTACATTGGAGGTATAAACTGTGGAAAGAAAAAGCCATTATCTCAGGTCAGTGATTTCCCTGATAAAATACATTAAGGTTTGAAGGGAAAAGACTGTTTGCAAGTGCTCGGTGTGTATATAATTGCATACATGAGTTAGTGGGATTTATACGTGCAGTAAGGTGTAATGTAAACACAGTATAAATAAGTAAAAAACTGGCTTGATTTTAACTCTCTCCTACTCTTGCAGATACTGTTCTATAGCATTAGCAGGAACTAAACTTTTTTACTTACACAATTGTTTTCTGTGGGTTAGGTGGAAGTAGTTTATGGGTTCTTTCTGCAATTTTCTGTAAAACTCTTGGAGATTTTCGTAACTGCTCTGCAGCACTGAGCCATCTGCAACAGCTTACGCTGCCTTCTGAAAAGTTTCCCTAAAAAGGGCGTACCTAGAGGTGCAGTAGTTTGGTAAATATCCTTAAAAAAATTCTGGTGCATACTATCAACCTCCACAGTGAATTACTGTGTGGTAAAAAATCACTTCTCTGCAACAATTTTCATAATTAGGGCTGATTGTCTGCAAATGCTGTCTATGCATTCGTGTTGTTCGCTTTCATGGCCCTGGGGCATGCTCTTTCCAGGCTGATCTAGAACAGTATTTCTGAGTTGCTAATACAGTTTTAAATGTATCTGTCAAAAACACCCATGCCCTGTCCTTCCTCCTTCCACACCCTACCTTCATCCTTCCAAGAAGAGGCTGTTCAGGGAAATGAACTGTGAGAGCCCATTTTCCATTTTCATTACAATCATAGAATCACAGAGTGGTTAGGGTTGGAAGGGACCTTAAAGCCCATCCAGTCCCACCCCCTGCCATGGGCAGGGACACCTCCCACCATCCCAGGGGGTG